AGGGCAGCGACGGCGTCCTCCCGCAGCCAGCTCCCCACGGCTCTGCCTGGGGCCAGCCCTGCTCCCAGAGCCGCTGTGTGAGCACGTCCTCCGGACACTGCCTCCCCGGCGGAAGCAGCCTGGGACCTCCCAACGCACCCTCTGCAGCAGGGTCAGCACGGCTGAGCTCCACGGCCCTGGCCTGCTCTCACAGGCGCCCGGGCGACGAGGAGGGGAACTAGGCGTCTCGCAGGAGCTGCGCTACTCCACTATGACACGCTGCGCTGGCAAGTACAAACGGAACTACGGGAGTGAGCGCCGGCTCCGGCTGAGCGCGCGCTGACTCCAGCGCCTGCCCTGGGCTGTCCCAGGCAAGAAGCTTCTCCTCGCAAGACTGCGTGGCTGCAAAACAAAGGGAAGCGTTAACACAGCGCCCAGCAGCACCAGACGGCAAAGCAAGGCAAAGGCACACGGCCCGAGGCCCCAGCGAGCCGGGTTTCGGAGCACAGGGGATCTCACCAATGCACAGGGCTGGAAGCAGCCCGCCCGCTCCAGGCAGAGACAGGAGAAGTGGGGAAGGAGGCAGGAGAGCCAAAGGCAGGACCGGGAGGGGAGGAAGCTTCTTCGCACGTAAGGGCCCAGCTGACCCTCTCCCCACGCACGGCTCCTTCAAAGCCACCAGGCGGGAGGTACGGCCGTGTGAGCAGAGATCAATGAGGACAGGAGAGGAGAGGGCAGCTCTTCCCTCCCGCCCCTGTACCGGAGAGCTCCCATTCCCCTAGGCATCACTATGCTGGTGGCCTTCTGCACTGTGGCCCCCCTGGGTAGGCCAGGAGGGGACCAGAGCCGTCCCCACCCAGAGATTAGCTCTGCACGGCCAGGGTGCAGCGGAGCCCTGGAGATCACGCGGGAACCGAGGCACCGAGCGAGAGGATGCCGATGCGCACGCACAGCGCCTAGGCCACACACGGCGCTCCGGGCACAGGCCCTACCCCTAGTGCTCCCTGCGAGGCGACAGCCTCCCCCTGGCACTCCAGCTGAGGCGCTCAGGGCAGGCACGTTCCTGTTCCACAGCCGGACACACGCAGGCGCGGGGACCTGAGCGAGACTGCCAGGGGAAGCCGGGAAATGGCGAATTCAGC